CGGYGGAGATGTGCTGCAGCCCCGACCTGGAGATGGTGCTGAAGGGAGGGAAGGGCTGAGCACCTGTGCTGGGGACCCCAAATCTCCCAAATCCCCTGTGCCTCCCTGCAGTGAGATTGAACACTGGGGATCCCAAATCCCCATTCTGGGAGAATTCCCTGCGCCTTCCTGCAGTGGGATTGGAATCCGGGAATCCACAAACCCCATTCTGAGGGCAGACCCTGTGCCTCCCTGCGCCTCCCTGCAGTGGGATTAAAATCCAGAGATCCCCAGTCCCCATAGTGGGAGAATTCCCTGTGCCCCCTGCAGTGGGATTGAATTCTGGGGATCCCGAATTCCCATTCTGGGAGAATTCCCTGCGCCTCCCTGCAGCGGCATTAAAATCCAGGGATCCCGAATCCCCATTCTGGGAGCAACCCCTGTGCCCCCCTGTAGTTGGATTGAACTCTGAGAATCCCCAGACCCCATTCTGGGAGCAGCCCCTGTGCCTTCCAGCACTGGGATTAAAATCCAGGGATCCCAAATTCCCAGTCTGGGAGCATTCCCTGTGCCTCCCTGCAGTGGGATTAAAATCTGGGGATCCTGAATCCCCATTCTGGGAGCATTCCCTGTGCCTCTCTGCAGTGGGATTAAAATCTGGGGATCCCGAATTCCCATTCTGGGAGCATTCCCTGTGCCTCCCTGCAGCGGGATTAAAATCCAGGGATCCTGAATTCCCATTCTGGGAGCAGCCCCTGCACCTCCCTGCAGTGGGATTGAACACTGGGGATCCCCCATCCACCAGTTGCGCCTCCCTTCCCCATTTCTCTGTGCAGGGACCCCACTCTGGGGTGCTCACAGGCTCCTGAGGTCCCGCAGTGTCCTGGTGTCATCTCGGGTCAAGGTGGTCAGTGCCTGCTGGTTCTCAATGATGCTGGAAGGTGAAGGGGAGGGGTCAGGGGAGCAGCCCARGACCCCCACCCCCATGCCAGGGGCTGCTGGCAGAGCCTGGGGCTAGGGGAGTGAAGGGGGTAAAGCTCTTCTGCTCCCCAGGCTGTTCCCTATGGCTGGGGAGGGGACGAGGATGGARCTGAGCTGCCCCCCTGTGCCTCAGTTTCCCCTGGGATGAGCTGGGAAGAGGCGGGGGGATGGCAGCAGCTGATCCTGATGGGGCTGAGCCCCCAGTTGGTGCAAACTGTGGGGTCAGGGCTGAGCCACCCATGGAACCCGAGGTCTCACCCCGATAATGAATTTGCAGAGTTTCAGCCCCATTCATCCCTTGGGCCCCCATCTTTTCTTGCTCTGTGACAGGGGCACCACTGTCACTGTCCCCACACCCTTTTCTCCAAGCAGGAGGTGAAGAAAAGCCCCTTTGGGAGCAGGTACAGGGTTTTTCCCTGCCCCACCCCACTGGTCGATCCTGTGAACCCCAAACTGCAGGGGTTGGCTAATTGGGGTTCAGATCCACACCAACGGGGTTTTGGTCCCCCTGACCCCGSTGGGGATGGGATCAGAGCGGTTGGGGTGGTGGGATGGCCGGGGGTCTCTCGGGGGGCCACCATCCCCACCATCACCACCCCACCCCAGCAGCCAGCGAACAAAGAGCTGGCAGCGCCTGTGGCGCAGCATCCCCTAGCACGTGGGGAAACTGAGGCACGGAGCCACCGCAGCCGGTCCCCGGCAATGCGGCACGGGCAGGGCCGTGGTGTGGGGAAAACCCAGGAGTTGAGGCACTTTGGGGTCCTGTGGCACCGTGTCCCCCCGTGCCCCCAGCACCCTTCTCGTCTCTGCTCGCTCCAACCCTCCTCTTCCCACCACACATCCTGAAGCRGGGCAATGACTGGGAGAAGGGTAAATGTCCCAAACCAGCAAATTTGGGGTGTGACCCCCAGCACGCCGACCCACAGGCCCCAGGGCACAGTGACAGCCGTGACAGGATGGGGACAAGCTGCTCCCCACACCCCAGCACGGTGCGGGTGCTCCCTGCCCGAGATCCCCGCTGCACCCTCAGCGTGTTGGGGTGACTGGCATTGCCGCAGGAGGGGGTGAAGAGCAGCCCCCAGCCCCTCACTTGCCCCCTGGGGGATGATGTAGCCCCTCCACCCCATCTTTGCAGCCCCCAATGCCTCCCCAGAAACAGCCACGCTCCCCACGGCGATCCCAGCCCATCCGGCGATTCCTGATCCATCGCCGCTCCAGCCCAGCCCCACTGCCCTGTCCCCGAGCTAATCACCTCCATCTCCATCACCCCAGTGTCCTGTCCCTCAGCCCTGCTGTCCTCAGCCGCATCACCGCATCCTCCAGCCCCGTCATGGCCAGCCCCATYACCCCCAGACCCTCTGCCTGGTCCCTGAGCTCCGTCAACCCCAGATCCATCATCCCCATCCCCGAGCTGCGTCTCCCCCAACCCCTCTGCCAGTCCCCAAAATCTGTCACTCCCAGCCCCATCATCTCCATCCCCGAGCTCTGTCACCTCCAACTCCATCGCTGTCCCATCCCCATCACTGCATCCCTCCACCCTGCCACCCCCCTCTCCTCTGCCCGGTCCCTGGGCTCTGTCACCCCCAGCTCCTCTACCCGGTCCCCGGGCTCTGTTACCCCCAGCTCCATCACACCCAGCCCCGTCACCCCCAGCTCCATCACAACCAGCCCCCTCACCCCCAGCCCTATCACAACCAGCCCCCTCACCCCCAGCTCTATCACACCCAGCCCCGTCACCTCCAGTTCCTCTGCCCGGTCCCTGGGCTCGCTCACCCCCCAGCTCCATCACAACCAGCCCCGTCATCCCAAGCTCCGTCACTCCCGTCGCCGCCGCGTTGTCCCATCGCTCCCAACCCCTCTGCCCGGTGTCGGAGCTCCATCACCCCGACCCCCGGCCCCATCACCCCCGGCCCCATCACCCCCAGCCCCACTCACACGTCGGTGAAGCTGCCGGTTCCCAGCAGCGAGGCCAGGCTGTCCACGGTGCCGGGCTCCCGGCAGAGCAAAATCCCGGCCCGGGGGCAAAGGCAGGGGCAGGCAGCGGCAGCGCCCGAGACTGGCAGGGACGGGGACAGGGACAGGAGCAGCACGGCCAGGCAGAGCCAGGCGGGCAGCGCCGGCATCGCGGGGCCGATCCCGGGGCCGGGGCCAGTCCTGGAGCCGGTGCCACTGCTGGACACCGCTGCCGCTCCCGGACACCTGCCGCGGGTGCCGCCGCTGTCACTGCCGCCCTCCCTCGCACTTGCCCGGCAGCCCGAGCACGGGGCTGCGCGGGGCTTAAAAGCAACGCAGGGAMCGGCCTCCCGGGAGGGGCCGGCGGCTCCCCCCGCCCCGGCACCGCCCCCGCCCCGGCCCGAGACCCTCCCGGCCGTGTTTCACCGGCACCCGGGAACGCTCAGAGCCGGGAGAGGGGGATTCCGCACACGGGCACAGAGCACGGAGCCCGTCTGCGCTGTGCCCTGCTTAGACCCCTGTGCCCTGCTTAGACCCCTGTGCCCTGCTTAGACCCCTGTGCCCTGCTGCCACCCTACCCGCACTCTGGCACCTTACCCCCGCACCCCTAACCCCATGAAGAGGCTCCATCCCGCCCCTAAAAACCCTTGGGGCACGCAGGTGCACACGCACGTACACACAGACACACACACCCGCTCCAGACCCTGGCTCAGAGCTGGCTGAGTGCGAGGGACAGGGGACATCGCCATCCCGGGGGCCACCTAAAGTCCCCCGAGTTGTCACACCCCCCCTACAGTGTCCCCAAATTTCGATGCATGATGAATTCTCCTGGCTCAGGCTCTTCCCCAGCACCCCGTAATGTTGGGGGGCAGAGATGCTGGAGATGGGGGGACGTTTGGTGGCACAGTGGTCCTGTCCCCAACTGCCACCTCTGATGAAAACCCAGCTCCTCCTCCTCCCCGAGAGGACAGGAGAGGCCTGCTTTGCACCCACCGCCCCCTCCTCGGGCTTCCCCCGCCCATTCGGGTGCTGCTTGTCCCTGACCTTGCTCCAAAGCGCGTCGGGGGTGGCTCATCCGTGCACTGAGTTTTTCACATTCTCAGCCTGCCCCTTTCCCCCACGGCTCAGCCCCCGRCACATCTCCACCACCAACCCCAGTGGCACCTTGGGGTGCCCTCCCGTGGGGCTCCACCGGCCACCCCAGCAGCCCCCCCGGCAGATCCAGCCGGTGGCTCTTGCCACATCYTCCCGAATTCCACGGCTTTGACGTYTTTCTCCAGAAACGCCTCCGGTTTGGGCACCGCAGGGCAAAGCCGCAGGACACAGATGGGTTCAATAGGGTGAGGATGAGGAAACTTCGGGTGCCGTCCCCCCATCCCRCGATCCCCCCGAGCCAGACACTGCCGCAGCTGAGCTTCATCCCCTTTATTCGCGCTCATCCCGCGGCCGCCGATCAGTGAAGCCCCTCCCGCGGAACCAGCGCGGCCTCAGCACTGGTCCCAGTGCAGGGGACTGGGGAGAGGCATCAGGGCAACCCCAGGCTTGTCCCGCTGAAGGACTGCCCCGTGACTCAGTTTCCCCCGCCTGGGGATCACAGGGGTTACTGACCTGTTTGTCAGGCAGCTGGGGAGCGACGATGAGCGGCTTGATGGGGGACCCCGAATACCAAACCCTGCTACCCACTTTCACACCCACATTAACCCC